GGCTCGGAGGCCACCTCGCTCAGCTCCCTCAACTCCTCCGCCTCCGACGGCGACCAGGACTACGACTACCTCAACGACTGGGGCGGCCGCTTCCGCAAGCTGGCCGAGCTCTACGGCGGCGGCGAGGAGGACGAGTAGGGACCCCCAGCCCGCTGCTGCCGCCTCATTTCACCCCTCTGGACACACGTCGGTCTCTGTCCGGGGTGGCCAAACCCCTCCTGAACCCTGTCTCCCTCACTAAGTGAGTGAGCGTCCCCAGCTCAGGCTCAGTGGGGATGGGGCGTTTTGGGGTAGTGTGCGTGTTTCCTGGCCCCCTTAGCTCCAGGGCATGGAACAGTTTAGCCCATTCCCTATCCTGGAACTGAGGTGCTCCCAGCTGTGGGGGGCAGGATTGGGTCCTTCTTCCCTTTTCCGTGAAGGGAAAAAGGGTTTCACTGGCGCTCTGCAAAATACCTCATGCTGCCAGCCCCACACAGGCTCAGATCACGAACCTAGTGATGGAGAGTGCAATGAGGCACTTGATCAGCACAGACCAAAGAATGCTCCATAACTGTCAATTGTATTTAATACTACTATGTACAGACAGATTTCTATTTTTCTGTACCCCAGATTATGGATTGATTTCCTCCTCTGTCATGCCAGGTGTAATTAGTCATTGAAAGGTGCTTTCCAAAATCAAAGGGCTTTCCCAAAATCCTGACCTCTGTGTTTAGCTATCTTCACGGTTTGTATTTTTTATCATAGGAAAAGGGTCTGATGAGAGCTGGGAAACCAGCAGTGGCCAAGTGGTTGATTGTATGGTTTTTATATAAAAAATTGAAATAAATTGTTTTAAGAAAACCAAACCACTTTTCTGTGTGTGAGGCTCTGCCGGTGCTCAAAGGCTTTACCTGCTGTGCGGGTGTGGCCATGGCCCCTTCCATGGGGATAGCAGAACCATGGCAGGATTGGAGTTTGAAGAGACCTTATGGATCATTGAACTCCATCCGCCATGGGCAGGGACACCTTGTGCTGTCCCAGGCTGCTCCAACCCGGCCTTGGGCACTGCCAGGAATCCAGGGGCAGCCACAGCTGCTCTGGGCACCTGTGCCAGGGCCTCAAGTGAGAAGGGTTCCTCCCCAGTAGCACACCTACCCCATACGGCGGCACTGGCAGCCATTTTCCCGATCCCGTCCCTCACCCTGGTCCCGGTCCCNGGCTCCCCGGCCTGGAACGCCGTCTACCGCATCCGCAGCGGGGACCCGCAGGGCGACTTCGAGATCACCACGGACCCCAAAACCAACGACGGGCTCCTGAAAACTGCCAAGGTGGGTCCTGCTGCCTCACAGCTGCCTCAGCACCAGCTGGCTCCCTGCTGGCACTACCCCGCTTCTCTCCCACCCACAGGGCCTGGATTATGAGTCCCAGAACCGGTACAGGCTTGTGGTGTCAGTGGAGAACGAGGTCCCCTTCACTGTCGGCCTGAATCCTGCCACAGCCAATGTTCTGGTGGTGGTCAAGGATGTGAATGAAGCCCCGATCTTCATACCCCCAGTCAAGCAGGTGGAGGTGAAGGAGGATGTGCCAGTGGGGTACCAGATTGCCTCCTACACAGCCCAGGACCCCGACAAGGACCAGAGGCAGAAAATCACGTGAGTGGAGGGTGATGGTGGCGGGGGCTTTGCTGGGATGTCTGAGGGGCTGCGCTGCACCGTGTGCCCCTTCCTCTCCCCCTGCTGACCCCTGGCTGCCCCCAGGTATCGCATGGGCAGTGACCCTGCAGGGTGGCTGGAAATTGACCCTGAGAACGGCATCATCACGGCAGCCCAGGCCCTGGACAGGGAGTCGGCACATGCCATCAACAGCACCTACAAGGCCATCATCCTGGCTGTGGACAATGGTGAGGGTGCCCAGCTACTGCCCTGTGCCCATCTCCGTGTTCCCCCATGGAGGTGCCTCGCTGACTCTTAGTCCCACAGGGTCACCAAACTATGCCACTGGCACGGGGACACTGCTCGTCGTGCTTGGGGATGTGAATGACAACGGGCCCGTGCCAGAGCCCCGGAGCTTTGACATCTGCAACCGGCAGCCCGAGGAGCAGATCCTGAAGATCATCGACAAGGACCTGCCCCCCAACACCCACCCCTTCAAGGCAGAGCTGATGCACGGCTCTGGCAGCAACTGGACTGCCAGTGTGGTGCAACCAGGTGGGTGCCACCTGCTCTGGTGCTGGCCCTGCAATGAGCGCTAGGCTGGGGACCTGCCATGGGGAAAAATCCTGTGCCAGTGCCAAGGGTGCTTCCAGAGCAGAACTGGGAAAGGGGCTGGAGCACCAGCAGTGGCTGAGGGAGCTGGGGAGGCTCAGGAGGAACCTTCTCCCTCTCCACAATTTAGTGGCAGGAAGGTGCAGCCAGGTGAGGGTCAGGATCTGCTCCTAAGATACAGGACAAAGGGAAACAACCTCGAGATGTGCCAGGAGAGAATTAGGTTGGATATTGGGGAAAATTCATTCATGGAAAAGGTGCTCAGGGATCAGAAGAGGCTGCCCAGGGTGGAGTCCCTACCCCTAGAGGGATTTGAGAGCTGTGTAAATAGGGCACTTGTGGAAATGAGTCAGTGGTGGCCTTGGCAGTGCTGGGGGATGGCTGAACTCAATAATCTTGGGGACCTTTTCCAACCCAAATGCTTCTGTGGCTCACCAAGACGAGGTGAAGCTGAGCATGAAGAAGGAGCTGGAGCCGGGCGAGTACAGCATCTTCCTGAAGCTGCTGGATGCACAGGGCAAGGATCAGATCACAGCTGTGCGAGCCCAGGTGTGCAGCTGCGAGGGGCCAGCCAAGAACTGTGAGCGCAGAGCCTACATCTCCGGTGGCATGGGCGTGCCTGCCATCCTGGGCATCCTGGGGGGCATCCTGGCGCTGCTCAGTGAGTACCCGGGACAGGGATGGGAGGGACAGAGTGCGGGTCACCCCCTCCCTGCTGCCCTGACACCCCTCCCTGTGCCTGCAGTCCTCCTGCTGCTGCTGCTGCTCTTCGTGAGGAGGAGGAAGGTGGAGAAGGAACCACTGCTCCCACCCGAGGACGACATGAGGGACAACGTGTACCACTATGACGAGGAGGGTGGTGGTGAGGAGGACCAGGTAGGATGTCTGCACTTGCTGGAGGGGTGGTGGCCGTGCCCATGGCTGTCCCTCG